TATCCTCAATACCAATGCAACTAATATAATATTTCATTAATTTTTAATTACTAGGATATCCTCAATACCAAAGTTTATTGTTAAAATTCAGTATTTGAAGTATCTCTGCCAATAATAAAAACTCTTGTCAAGATTAAATCTAATTCAAAATTATGTTATATCAGAGGGACATGGTAAAGGGCCGTTCCGCCTGCAGTTCAGATTTTTCAACTTGCTGCCCTAAGGGTAAAAACTGGTTTTGGAGATGGCTCAGCTGTGTTTTTAGCTAAGATAACCCCAGTGCGAACAGCCCTTAAAGGGAAAAAAAAAAAATCTCATCTGACATGCAATCACTCATCTGAATGTCCGCACACACAAAATCAAAATCACCAAATCAGTTTCTCAAACTTATTTATATTTTGAATTCAACATTTCTATTTTATAATCAGGAGAGAAATTCTTATTTTAAAATGCAACATCACCATTCTTTTCATTTCATTCCAAATTCCTATGGCTTTTATAGACCAACATTGTGTTATTTTTTGTTTTGAACTTGGTTTGAAAATATACACTTATGATATCTGTCTGTAAAAATTTCTCAGTATATATTATTTTTTCACAAAATCTCTAAACAAATTTTTGGTTTAATCCTAGTATCCGGTGCACACGGGATTTGGCTACTTTTGGCGACTTTATGACGAGCAGTAAAAACGTGACACATACGATGAGTAGTAAACAGGTCATTCAAAGAATATATATGCGCATAGTATATACTATATATATATAGTGTATATACACACATAGTATATATATAGACGTTCTTTGGGTCATTTTTGGTGTTGGCGATAATTTTCAAAATCGCGCCAAGGCTGCACTGTATAATAGGATTTTACCCTTTTTTTAAAGCAATCACCACAAAGTTTTGAGTGGATCAAAAGAAGCCCCAAACCTGCTCTTAAGTAGGTTTCTTGATTGATTTCCTGAATAAATACCTAATTAAAAAGTATATTACGTATGCATGTAATAGTTTTTTTTGCTACTATAAGGCATCATTCTTTTTCTTCTGTAAAGAATCACCAAGGTGATAGCATTAATGTACAAGTAACAAAACGAGTAAATTGCATAACAGGTTTTTAATTCTTTCAAAAAAAATTAGCCTCTTTAGACATTCTACAGTGGATGAACACAATTGACATTTCAAATTATTTTCCCAAAGCATAATTTTAATATGCTTCCAAGATTTTATATCATTTTTATTTCACAAAACTTGGTGAGGTACTACCACACGCCACATGGGGGGAAAAAAATAATAATCTGGTGGTTTATCACCGTTTCTTTTCCAACTTATTGACGAAGCTGTTTGCGGAGTAGAAGACAGCCCTCTACTATTCACCATTATAAATTAACTACTCTGCAGAACGAAATACATCTTTTTCTAATAATTACTACTACAACTAATATCGCCATTACAATACGGCTTCGCTCCATGGGGATTTTTACTCAAAATAGGGAATTCTTTTATACAAATTCCCTACAGAAGGGACATTATTTCAAAAATAGGAATAAGTTTTGTTTTACTTTTCTTTACAAGTTATAACGGTAAAATTAGTTACCTCTGTAAAATATAACAGAAATCAGGAGAGAATGTAGAAAATGTGCTATGATTCAAAAACAAAAAATAACAATATCAGTTTTTAACATATTATTAAAACAATGAAGCAACCACCTTTCAGTCAAAAGTACTATTGAGAGTAAAAACCTAATTAAAACCCTTAATTACAGTAAACTCTATTAGTATTATTTTTTAAATATAAAAACACTTCTCCTCATTAAAAAAAAAACCCCTGTGAAAGTTAACGAGTGTATATTCAAATGTAATAAGCTGAAACCTGATTCATTTCATTTAAATTAATATAATGAACAGAATTCTCACACTATAAATAAACAAAATGAGCTTAGAAAAAACTTAAGATAGCTCAAATAAATATGATTCTTTATTTTTGTGTTTTTCATAACAAAAATAAACCTGACTTTTAAAATGCACAAGATCCTTTTACACACACAAATTCCATTAAAAGGATTAGAAGGAAATAAAAGTTTTAAACAAAGGAGAAAAAAATTTTACCCTTAAGCATGATAAGTCTCTGCACAATTTACTAAAGCTACAAATCTGCACTATATTCTGCAACCTTTAATAGTTACAAAGAGGTGCATAATCATAAGACAAACATAATACAATTCTGTAATGTACAGAAATCAATATAGTTTTTCTTAAAAGCAGGTAAGGCAAAATGTTCATTTACATAATACTTTTTAAGGCTCTGTTAATCATGAGAATCTAACATGATCACCAAGTGATTGCTTTCAGAGCTCAAGGCAAATCATATCACACTATTTAGTTACAACAGGACGAAGTACTCGTGCATTATATCTGTATGTTTTGAACATCCAAAGATGTATAGACAAAGTTTTCCAAATAATTCAATCAGATATGAATAAGCAAAATCTCCAACTCTACTGTCTTGGCCTTCAAGATGCCCACAATAACAGCACAGCTGATAATGGATTTCGGGAATTTTAAGAAGCGTGATAATATTCAAATAGCAGTTTAAAGACATAATTAATGTTGTTAATTAATTAACAAACAATGTTAATTTGTTTTAGAGTTTTAAAAGCTCATTAATTTGTTTTAGAGTTTTAAAAGCTCATCTATCATATTCTGTTATGGATGGATAATGAAAAGAAAAGAAGTAAAATACCATGTCACTATCACAGAAGTTCCATAAATATTTCTGGGCTTGCATGAGGTAAATAATACAAAATGACATTAAGCTGTTTCTTTCTAATTATCTGCACCTCTCACCAAAAAATTGCAAATTCCTTGCCAACTGTAGGAAATAATGCTTTTTTTGGGTAACTTTACATCTATTTCAAAGATACAATTAGTGCCACCATGTTATTTTTTCTATACAAATTACACACTTCTCGATCTTTTGCACAGTTGTTCTCCTCCTGCACACAGTGATCATTTTCATGCAGACTTGCTCAAATTGAACAACATGCATAACCTCTCCATCAAAATCTTAAAATAAGAAAGGAAAAGAAAAAAAAAAAAAAAAAGTCTCATCATGCCTTTCAGTCACATTATACTTCATGCATGCAGAAAGCCAAGTCCAAGATTTCACCAACAATGATGAAAATTCCAAACTCCGATATGTGGTTAATCATGTTAAAATTATTATAGGAGGAACATAATCTTCAGTCATACTGGCAAAAGTGTCAGCAGAAGTGGAAAACCAGTGCATAAATATTTTCTGGCAACATCACGAGTTGCCGAACAAATACCTTTTGACGACATGGGTGTGTGGATAATCAAAAGTCTCCACAATTTTTAATTCAGTGTAACGGGCTTGCCTACCTTGTGCAGAATAAAATTCTTAAAATAATTTTAAATGTATCCTGCTTCACGAAGAAACAAGTTATGCATAAAAATTTCTAGATCATTAACAATGACAATTTCTAAAAGCAGTTATTTATATTTCGTGAAAATTACAACAGTCATAGTTTTAAACTGAGAGAATACTGGCATTTACAATACTTTAATTAGAACAGCAGTATACACAAGCTGGATGCTGTACATTCATCATGGATTATATCAACACATAATGTCAAAATATGTAACTTGATTTTTCAACAGAAAGGTACTTCTTGTACCTTGGGATTGAATCAGATCATTTAGACGGCCCAACACTTGAGGGCTATCTACCTAAAAAGAGGAATGCCTCTGATGGGATTTCCAAGGTAAACTTCACTTGATCATGTCATACAAGAAAAAACAAACACATTTCTATGCAGCCTAGATCAAATTACCAACTTTTTCACCATTAGCCAACTCTTCCATAAACAAGACTATAAAAAGCACATTATAATATTAATAACCAATACCCACACTCGATTTGAAAAACTTCAAACACAAATTTAATTGCTCATTTGAAAGCCTCCTGCACAAAAAAAAAAAAAAGTTTATGTAATATTTACTAGTTACCACATCCTTCTAAAACTGCAGATGGCAATCACATTATCTATTCATTTCATACAGATCTCGTAACAATGTCTCAGCTACTTTGAAAACTGGACACAATGTTTTATAGTTGTTAAGTAAAACTATTAATGAACTTGATTTCTTCACGCAGAGGAAGAATTTTTTTATTCAGTATCCACAATGCCGTCTTTAGGGATATAGGATATTTTTATTGATCAAATAAGATGACTAATTTTTTTCTTCCATTTACAACAAAAAATCAGAATATGAAAAACTACGATGAAGGTTTAACTCCATTTCTTGGAAGTGTGGAAAGAGTAAGGTTCTCAAAAATAAATAATCGCTCGAATATATAAAAAGAGTTGCTCCATAAACTACCCTAAATCGCCTTACTGGAGATTTCTAGTTCTTCCAAAATGGAAAAGTATTTAAAATAAATAAAATGAATGATTATTTTGCCTATGGTCTATCGAGAAAGGGAGTTGCAAGAGATTGGCCAAATCTTGTGACGGCTCCCCCATAAACTCTACGAAATCGCCACCTTTGGCGATTAATGCCTTTCTTAGGAGAATGCCAAGATTCTACGAATTTTGAAACGTTCCAAGTTTACTTTTGTATACTTTTTGACAAAAGCCCCTTCCTCCTCCTCCCAAAAATATTCCACTAGAATACCTAAATTATATGGCAAAACATAATAATAAATCTCACTCAAGTGTTCTTCACCACCTTTCTCTTTCCACACTGCGATACTCAAAAACTAAAGTTTAATTAGTCGCCAGTTTAACTAATACAACAACGCATTTACTTACTGAATGAACCCACTTTCAAAAGTTAAAAGCTGTTTTAGTTATGACTGGTGATACTGTTTCGTCCCATATTGACTGGACATTACACGAAGGGTAGAGTGCAAGCAGCTACGCAACTAAACGTGAGGTTACACTAAATTCAGTGGCCGGACACTAAACTAATTTCCACTTACCGTTTCATTTTCCTGTTTGAGGCTCATAATTTGCCTATCCTTTTTCACTGAATCTTCTTGAAGTTGTTTTATTAATTCTAGCTGAACAAGCACCATATCACGAAGCCTTTTATTTTCCACTGACAAATCTTTAGAATTGGACGGGCTATTCGCAGCGTTTGTATTATGCGACTTATTTTTCATTTCGCTACAGTTTGCGTAAATATGATCTGTTTCACATGGCAGATTAATTCTTCCTTCTTTTCCACCATCGATCTTACACAGATCGGCTGATTTCGTGCAAGATATATGATCATGATACGCCGCGGCCAAATTTACCTGCCTCAGAGTCTCATCTTCAGCGGCGTAGCTATGACTTTCGTCGGCGCCATTTACGATGGGTGAATTTTTTGACATTTTCCGCCGATGTATGGACTGTCGACCTTCTATTTTTAGACGATCTGGTTCTACCGCTCCTGATTTCATAGTAAAGCAATCATAAACTTAAAGCGTTCAGGTAAAACACAAGTAATTGAGAAAGAAAATTGGTAACACCATCACACCACAATATACAAACTGCACGGCAGCCATATGCAATCTATGACGTCAATCCTATTTTGCAATGTGATTGGTTAATCATACACTATGGCGATAAAATATTTCAAATCCTTATTCTACGCTTCAGAGCGGTGCTGAGGGCCCATTAACTTACCTACTTTTTATGTTCATGATATTAAAAAAAAAAAAAAAAAAAAAACTCTCTATTAACATTAAAATGTTAGTCAAGCATCTAAATTATTAAATTTATTCCTCCAAAAATTTTGCCTGCACTTATCAACTAAGAAATTAGAATATATAGTATCATTAACAATAAAATTTAGTATCCTTAAAAAAGGGGCGTAGGAGAATTCCTTTTTATAATTCCCCCCCCCCTACAATAAAATACTTTATTTTTAGTTTGAAGAGTTTAGATTGGATTTCCACAAACTTTTTATTAGTACTTGAGTTACAACAGAAACCAGAATAATAAATTTTCTGATATTATGCAATCCCCTACAGATTTTCATTTCATGCATTTTCTTCCACAACTGGAGGAAAGGCGTAAGAAATTAATAAATATAAATAATAATAATTAATAAAATAAAAATGAACATCCAGATTGTTAGATTTATTCAGAAGTAAACAGCCTGCAAGAAATTGAAAATATATTTTCTAATGTCTAAATAATATTTAAAGGGGCGGGGGAACTCTTGAAAGACCAAACAAGTGATTTTTTACTTCCTTGTATGATGCAAAGAAAGTATTGTAAATATGAAACATTCCGGGTACCATATTTCAACAGAAACATCCATTTTGACCGTTCCCGAATCCATTTGGACGATTTTTTCTTTCATTGCGTCTGTACGCAAGGACAGAATAAAGAACTGTTTTTTCCAAAATGGACTCAAGAGGGACTGTTTCGTGACGTGTACGTCAATAACTCAAAAGCGATTAGCCGTAGATCATTAAAATTTTGTATAAAGGACTGCTATAACACCTAGTTTCGCACCTTTCTTTTTTATTGCAATCGGTAGTACCAAACATATATTTGCCCCCCTTTACCCGGCTTTTATTTTCGCAGTCGTTGGGGTTGTAGTCATATATTTCTAATTACAGAAGTGTTTTAAATGACAAAACTGTTCATGTTCTCAAAATGTGAAATTTAAAAAAAAAAAAAAAAAAAAAAAAAAATTCCGACGAACGCCAAAATTTACCTTTTAATGCGATCTTCCGGTCCCCATATTTATATTTGCGAAAGTTTTATTTTCATTATGAAAATATAAAATTCTAAGAAGTTTGACTCCCAAAACGATAAAAACCGACCAGGATATTTAATTTCAGAATTCGAAATATTTGATGTCATTTTCCACTTGCTTTGAGTGAGAGGTTATTAAGTTTAAATGACCCGCAGGGAAAAAAGTATATAGTTTAATATTCCGTACAAGGCAATTACGTGATGCCACCATCAGATTTTTTATGCTTATATTCATGCAAATGAAATTTAATAACTACATATTTGTGTGCGTAACATTACAATTTTTTAAATAAAAACTTGAAACAACTTGAATTTGTTCAATTTATTTTATTATTTTTTAGTTCCATATGTCGCATTGTTTCTATATGTCATTCCGTTATTTTATTTTTTCTAGCTATTCCCTTTTTAAAAGAATTTTGTAACATTTTTTTTTGATTTTTACTTAATATAGAGTAAAAAGGAAAAATCTGAAAATTTCAGATTGCACTCTCATGCTTCAAGAATTAATCCCTAGAAGTAGTACAAGATACGGAATGCTAGATGGCATGCATAAGAGGCACTGAAAATGTCTTACCCGTAAATGTATACGGTATTTCTCCCACCTTCTCGGCGTGCCTTCGTGGTGTGGGGCTCTGCACGCTGGGCGCGTATTCCAGAGGTTTGCGGTTCGATTCCCAGCGAAGTCGTTGTTAATTTTTCATCTTGCCTGCTTCTAAAAATATCTAATATCTCTACAGTGGCGCCCGAACTTAAAAAAAAAAGGGTGTTGGATGATGATTCTCCTCACCCAGGATCTGGCGATTGGGTCCCCTAAAAAAACCCAGTTGGCCTTTAAAAGGGGAAGTATATAAGGTATTTCTCTCACTTTCTTGGTATGCCATCGTGGTGTGGTGGTCTGCACGCTGGGCGCATATTCCAGAGGTCCGTGGTTCGATTCCCGGAGAAGGCACTGCATATTTTTCATCTTTCCTGCTTGCGAAATTACCTTATGTCTCTACAAATGAAATGACAAGTTTCTAGTTTGTCAATTCAGAAAATTCACATTCGGAAAACGTTAACATTTTCTACGAGGTGCTATATCTTTTCCAATGGTGTTATCTAATCTTTTTTCTACTCATCGAAGTATTTTATAGAACGAACTGCAATAAATAAATTTGAGCGCTTCTCAGGGAAAAGCATGGAACTGCTCATTTTCCCCAAATCTCCAAAATGAAATCTTTCCCATTTTCTTCTGATTTTAACACAAAAGAAGCTAGTTCTTTATATATATATATATGTGATGTACCAGCTTTAGTCGTAGCTTAAATTATCAGACGATAAGTTTAAAAAAAAAACAGGTTCCATTTATTATTATTCAGGAGAAATAGCAGTTACAAAATTAGATATCCGGAGTAAATAAGAAGAATAACTAATAACTTTTTGAATTTAGTTTACTGCATCGTGACATTTAAGAATATTCCTTTGCGAATTTAAGAATATTCCTGATATTCCTTTGCGAGTCTTTTTATAGCCTCTGGAAAGGCGGAGCTTCCAAGAAATGACGTCAGCCAATCCAGTTCGCTTTTAAATATTTCCAGAACATTCTAAAACTGTACGTTTAGAAAAAGTCGGGAAAAACAACTTGACTACGGGGCTGTGGATTTAATTCCATGTACTTTGAAATAAGAGAACGTCGCCATTAAAAATGAAAAGAACATACAGTTAGAATTTTAAGTGTATTCTTGACTATGGAATTTTATTATTACACACATTATTACACATTATATATATATATATATAGTACATATCCAATAATACGACTTTGAGAACTTCTATACTACTTTGCCACTTGAAGAAATTTATAGAAGTTTACTTGCTCTTCCTAAATTGTTTCCCCAAATTTCTACAATATTAAATGCTGAAAAATGGCAACTTTTTCTTTCAAGCGTACTTTTCAATAATTATATTCAGTTCAATAACAAGTTTAAACAAATACAGGGAATACCTATGGGAGGCAATTTTTCAAGTGTATTCTGTGAATTATCCCTTTTTACACAAGAATTGACTTTTATACGTTCGCTCAATAATGAAGATCATAAATATTACCACACATCTTTCGTTATATTGATGATGTAATAGCCTTCAACAACTTCAACAAGATAGAAAAAGCTAATATCTATCCTTCATGCCTAAAACTTAATACTACAAATAAAGTGCAACATGATATTGTCTACCTTGATTTGCATATTATAGATTACAATTTTTTGAAAATCCATGATAAACAAAGAGAATTCAACTTTCCAATACTTAAATTAACCATATGGAATTCCAATATTTCAAAAAGTGTCGTCCTCAATACAATTTACTCACAGCAGTTTAGAATTTAAAGAATCTGCAATACAACAAAACACCTTCAAGAAGAAGTACTATACTTTGTAACAGTTTTGAAAAATAACCTAATTCCTAAAAAAGTTGTTAAAAAAAGCTGGCATTAACCTTATTTTTTAGATGTTTTGATTTAGATAATGAAATTTTATGCTTAAAGTCCTATGGGACGGTGTAAAGTGGATGGCTGATTCAGAAGATCTAATGTATAAATGTACAAATAGTTCCTGTCACAGCATCAATTTTTCCTCTTAAAATTTGGCACAATACTTTTAATTCCATTCTTAAATAGATTTTAAGCATTTGCTGGCCAATTCTTTCCTGTCATTAACTTACGGGCCATTTCGTTTCTGGTAGCTTGATCGCCCTCTAGCTTGAAGAATTTCGACTTTAATTAACAATGAGCTATTTTTCATTATTTCTTCCTACTTTTGTGGCCATTTTATAACATTTTGTTGAATTAGCTATTTTTTCTTTCACCCAGCCCAAACTTTTTCAAAACTCTTAAAGCTAGAAACCATCTTGAACCATTTTAGCATATTTCGACACACTGACCCCTCCCCTTGCACTGAGTCAGGTTTTTGGCAACGGTCAGTCACTTTTCATTGGCTCTTTCCTAGTGACGTTTTTCCCCTTTTTACATCATCCTGCCTTGTTGGTTAGCAGCATGCTTACGCGGGGCTGACAGCCCCTTTTTGAGTTTGATCTTACGACGATGAAGACGCCGCCTCTCCAGGTCTGGTTTTTAAAAATACTTTTCTCTTACAAAAATTTTTGGTTTTGGCAAGACCCTTACTCAATTCCTCTGTTTTATTATTATTTAAAATTTAAAATTTAATTTTTGGTACTTTTACAAAGTATTAACTCTATAAGCTAGTAGGTCCTCCCATAAAATCTTGTATATTTTGACTAATTGCAAATCGCTATTTATTTTATTTTGTACATTGGCATTACCATTCCATTATCTATTGTCTTTATTACATCTCAATGTGTTTCTTCAAGCGGACGCGTCGGGAAATCGGAACAGATAATTGAGACTAAAGATATTGGCAAAGTTTATTCAATTAATTAAAAAATGTTTCGCATACAGTTTCAATTGCCTCTTTCGGCGAAACGCGATATGGAGTTAGCTTGATTCAAACTTCATCAAAAAAAAATTTCCCCTGATGAGCCATAATGAGATTCGAATTAGACTAATCTACCATTTACCGCTTCTTAGTTTTTATATTTTTGCTCAAATCATTAGTTTAGTACTTTTACTAATGTTTTAAATATACCTTAATTTGATTAGCATATTGCTTACTATTGGTATTGATTTTTACTTGTAAATATTCAAATGTTGTATTTTTTTCTCTTGTAACACATTTCATTGCAACTTATTTTGCTTATGTTAATGTTTTCACGGAACCACAGTATTTAAACGGCTTTTTAGCGTAC